TAAGCTACTAGAAGACTCCTCCAATGGAGTTGCTTGAGTCAATTTTGGTCTTTGCAAAGAAAATGGATAAAGAAGCCATCAATTCTTGCTTTTCATTGAGAGAGATTGTGTTAGTGACCTACAATATAGGAGAATGGAATTTAGTATTTGGATGTTCCCTTGACAAGTTTGTAGTTGAGAAGGTTTCATGTAGAGAAAGAAGAGAGTGAAACGCTTAATGAAATAGGGAGAAAAGGAGAGTTAGAGTCTAGGTGACTCTTAGGAAAATAGGAAAAGAAAGCAAGTAGGTTGGACCTTATCTCATCTTAAGTCATGATGAGATAGATAGTTTCTTGTGTTATTGTTGAGTGACTACGTGAGAAGGTAATTGGAAACTCCTTTCATTGTGTAAATATGAAGATTCGATGGAAAAATGCAATTCAATCTAAAAGAGAATAATTGTATTCATTGCATTGAAGAAAAAAGTTAGTGGGACAACAAATTGATATACTATAATGCTTTGCTAAATATGATCATTCACATGTATCTCCATGTCATCTTATTCCCTAGTCAAAATATTGACCTTATTATGTTCAAGAAGTGTCATGTAATTCTTGAATTACTTCCAATTCAATCTTTAAGGCATTTTTAATTGAGTTGTGAAACTCATTTGATATGCTTAGCACTACAACTAAGAGTTAATTCTTTTAGTTGTGTGGCATGTCTACTAATCATGACCTTTGGCTTCTCTCGCTTCCAACTCATCCAACAATGAGTCTTTGCTATTAAAGGCTACAAAGCTAGTAATCTACTTGGATGAAAAAGCATACAAGGGGCTAAAATATTGGAGATATTTATCATTAATGAGTCTATAATAAATCATACAAACAAATTGTAACATCCTCAATTTTTTATTTAAAAATAAATAAACTTTATAGCAAAAAAGGGAAAATAGAAAACATTTTGTTTTATTTTATAGCTTAAAGAATCAAATAAAAGCAAAACTTACATTTCTCTTATAAAATTTTTACCGAATTCAAAAGTATTTAAAACTTCCAAAGGAATAATCTCAAAATTTTAAAATGATAATAAAATTTAAATTTATATCTAACAAATTATTTGATTTACAGTGCATACGTATAATTCTAAGACATAATCAATAACACTTCAAATTGACTGATTATTAACAAAATTTACCAAAGTATTATAAAATTCTAAAATTGACATTTAATAAAATATAAATATAATAAAACATTACAATTCTTTAAACTATTCTAAACCATACAGAACAATCTTCTTTCACAAAGGTCATTGGGTTATAATCCTAGAACAAACCAATCATCTTTATCTTTTCACTTTCATTACCTGAAAAACATTAGTAAGAGTGAATATTTCCCACCTCACTAAATCTCTTTTATGATACAATACTTTAAATGAAATTGAAATTATTGACTAACACCTTTTTACATATACTCATAACTAATAACACATAAATCACACCAATAATTATCATAGGAGAGCACATACAACAAATCAATCATCTTTACAAATATCTGTAACATACATTTTCACACTAATATGTATGTCATATTACATGTATCATATCACATGACATATATCATAACAATATCAATCGATATGTTACAATACATATTATAATCACATAATTTCTATACTATTTCATACCAATAATTATTTCACAATCATTGCCCCTAGGATCCCTTGAAGACTTCATAGTATAGATAGTTATTGGTTCGCTGCTGCACATGGATACAACGTGTGCCAACCCGGCCTCTTTTAGCAAAAGTGTTGGTCAGGGGTATTGTTTAAGAAATAAGTATAAGGCCTGTGGTGTCTTTTTCCTCTATTTTCATTAATTATGCGCATGTCATAGAAAAGCATCTACCACCATCATTTTCCCTAGACTTTTCACAGTGACCCCCATCTTCCACACTCTCAGTGTATCTTTGTAACTATCTATACTTATTCTCAGCATTTCTCGCACCATTTCTTTTCTCTTTCTTAGTATTTCTCATTTCATTTTCACATTCTTTTCATCAATTAGTATGTCATAATACGTAAGTTATGATTTATATAAATTCATGTATTATAACACACCTTTCGATATACCACAATACCTGTATCATAATTACATCTCTTATGTCACATTATTCACTCCTTGAATAATCCTCTCTCTTTATCCAAGAACACTTAAACCTTTTTCACAACAATATAAATCTATCAATTTTACATACTTTAACTATCATACCACATCTATATACTTACTATCATCTAGTACAGAAATCATCACACAATTTTACACCACACAGATCAATACAATGTGCCGAAGGTCAGATACCTCTGGACTCAGATTAGTCATACAATTCAATATAAACACTTCTCAGTATTAATAAAGTTATCTATCCTAGAGTTTGACATCATCCAATATTTACAGTATGTCTATTATTCCAAAATATCAAAGAGCAATCTTAACTATCTCTGAACATTGTTTACTAGTAAAATTGTAATATTTCTCAAAAATGGTTCTTTTAAGAGATTTTGCTACAAATTGCATTTAACTAGTGATGAAAATAATTGTAAGTTTTTCATGTCAAAAATCTGTACTCCTACACTTGAGATTTTTAGAAAACATTGGTATTCTAAGGTTCTTATAGAAAAACTTACTATTTTCAAACCAAGATACTAAAAGGAGTTGGGATTTAGGATTAACTCTCCTTACCTAGAAATGAGTTTCTCAGGTTGGGTTTTCCTAGAGATCCAAAAGGGAGGTACAACGTCTCAAAGGAAGATATCGTCTTGCGGGTTAAGATTTTCTTGAGTATCACAAAGCATAAGACTTTAGATCAGAGAAAATTGAGAAATAAGAGTGAAGTTGGAGAACTAAGCTATAAGAAACTTAGTTGGATTTGAATGGAATAGACATTTGAGCTCGAATCTGGAATAGATTCAGAGTTCAAAAGAGTTTTCTCTGAGAGGAAAAGGTGAGAGAACAGAGAGAATGAGGAGAGAAGGCTATTTGGTGAAATGAATGTTTTTAGTGCTAGGGTTCCTTAAATTCCCCTCTAAACTTGCACGTTCTCGCTTGAATGAGACCTACCCTCGCTTGGACGAGAAAACCAGATAGTAGAACAACTCATTTTTTTGCTATGCTCGTCTGAGCGAGAATATCCTTGTTTGGACAAGATTCGCTTGAGCGCGCGAGAATGGCTTCAGAGTGCACCCAATTTTTCCTGTGACTCCTTGCTTAGGCGAGCTGCTTCTTACCTAAGCGAGATCCCTTCTCACCTAGGCGAGATGACAGTTGAAGCAACTCTATTGCATCTCACTTAAGTAATGTTCATCTCGCTTGAGTGAAAATACTCTAGAGAGCCTTCTTCCAGAAAAACTCTATCTTACTTGAGCAAGACCTATCTTGTTTGAGCGAGAAACCCTACAGTAAATTTCCCATTTACCATTCAAGAGCAACAAACTTGAAGGTGTTACACAAATTTTTATACCACTCAAAACTTTATGATATTAAATTATGAGTGGACTATACCCTAAATTTAGTCTTAAGAGGGTAAAGGTAGGGCATTTTACTCCCTAAAATCATTAATTAAAAGAAAATTATATTAAATAAAACTAAATCTAACGATTTTTTATTAAATGATTCCTTAAACAAAATTCTTAAAAAAACTATTACTAAATTTATGAGAAAATCTTAATTACTAGATAAGGTCAATACACTTCTCTTTCATGTAAAATAAGACACCAGACTTTCAATAAAGGGGCGGCTACATTTGCAATTGCCAGATTCTTCACACCCTCTCATTGATAGCGAGTTTTGCAGAATCTTCAGCCGGCCAGGATTTCGCTTTCGAAATTGTTGCTTTCTTTTGGTACTGTTTTCCATGTCTTTTCTCTTTTCATTCTTCCGATTTGGTAGTTTATAAAAGTTATGAACTTGTCCAAAGTCATCCTTAATCGTGTTCCACATGAACTTCTTTAACACAACCATATCCAACCCTTAATTTCATTATTTGAATGTAAAAACATTAACATATTATATATAATCATTGTTTTTCACATGTTTTAAAAGTTTTTAAACATATATATCAAAAGAAAATACTTTATATAGTACCAATTTTGTGTTCACAGAACATCTTTCATTCCGAGGGTCATCAAATATAATATCTATGTAACTTTTTTTAACACGCGTTACTGATTATTTAGTGGTACGTTTTTCTTGCTTAAATCTTACAACCATCACGTTTTAAACAGAAAAAATATATACTATAAGAATTCCCTCCCATTGAAAGTTGAGCTACCGAATATGTAAGTGCTCCATGATAGCAGAGAAGTGCCGGGATACAAAAGTCATTTTACATATACAAAAGTAATACATAGAGTTAATTATGCAGAGAAGCAGCCTCGTACATTGTCAATAAATGCCATTTCCTCAATTCCACACCTCCAAAGTCAATGAATGTTATTCAACTTGTTTACTAGGATCTTTCCTACAAGCAATTCCTTGGCATGAAATGCATTGTACTACTAGACAGCCTCATAAACTACGAGTCAAATTTTGAAATGCTTTATTCCAACAAGTCCCTTTCTCTTATCTTTGATTTCCAAGTTGGTCCACTCTTCCCACATCAAAAACAAAGTAAAAACAATGGGACTCGGCGGTCTGAGGAGGGTTTGATCTCCCAACTGTGCCTTTCTTGCACATGAAAAGTCATGCGTTAGACACAATTCTCCAAGTCTCAGTTTCTGAACCATTTTGCTTCTGAATGTTTCAAAATTTGCCAGCTTTGAAAAGACAAGAACAACTTTTTTTATATCTTTTACTTAGCTATCTTTCTAGCTATATTAATCTTCCTCATATGCCTCAAAAGAATATCCCAGTTTATTAGTAGACACTATGAGAAAAAATATTTACAGGTAAATAAGTACCTTTCAAATCTCATCAATCAACATGAATAATTCGGATTTACTTTTCAGCTAAGAGATAGAAAAAGTGGTTGGCTAGTTACCTTGGTGCGCACACGGTAGAGAAAACTTGGTGTGACACATTCACTCACACTCTAAGAGTCCTATATACATATATTTCAAATCAATAGTCCAATGGAAGGGACAAGCATGGATCTTGAACTCCCTTCAGCTGTCAATGAATCAGAACAACAAAAGTTCACTCTACCTGTGGATTCTGAACACAAGGCCACAGAATTCAGACTATTTTCCATAGCCAAACCCCACATGCGTGCATTCCATCTATCATGGGTCTCTTTCTTCTCATGCTTTGTGTCAAGCTTTGCTGCACCACCCCTTCTTCCCATAATTCGTGACAACCTTAACCTCACAGCCACTGACATAGGAAATGCTGGGGTGGCATCAGTTTCAGGTGCTGTTTTTGCAAGAATTGCCATGGGAACAGCTTGTGACTTGGTTGGACCCCGCCTTGCGTCTGCATCGCTCATTCTGCTCACAGTGCCATTTGTGTACTTCACTTCCATTATCAACTCAGCCACCTCTTTCCTCCTTGTCCGTTTCTTTACTGGCTTTTCCTTAGCCACCTTTGTCTCCACACAGTTCTGGATGAGTTCAATGTTTTCTGCTCCTGTGGTTGGTTCAGCCAATGGTTTTGCTGGTGGATGGGGCAACCTTGGAGGAGGAGCTACCCAACTCATCATGCCTCTTGTGTTTTCACTCATCCGCGACATTGGTGCTACACAGTTCACAGCATGGAGAATTGCATTCTTTGTTCCTGCTTTTTTTCAAATGATGACAGCATTTTCCCTTTTGATATTTGGCCAAGACATGCCAGATGGGAACTTCCACCGCTTGAAGAAGTCAGGGGATAAAGCAAAAGATGAATTTTCAAGCGTGGTGTTTCATGGGGTCACAAATTATAGAGGGTGGATTCTGGCGTTGACTTATGGATATTGCTTTGGGGTAGAGTTGACCATAGACAACATCATAGCTGAATACTTCTATGATAGGTTTAATCTTAAACTCCACACTGCTGGAATCATTGCGGCAAGCTTTGGCTTGGCTAACTTGTTTTCTAGACCTGGTGGGGGTTATTTATCTGATGTAATGGGAAAGAGGTTCGGTATGAGGGGTAGATTATGGGTCTTGTGGCTGTGCCAAACCTTGGCTGGTGTGTTCTGCATAATCCTTGGCCTTGTGGGATCTTTAAGTGTATCCATTGTTGTTATGATCATATTCTCCGTGTTTGTCCAAGCTGCTTGTGGGATGACCTTTGGAATTGTTCCATTTGTCTCAAGAAGGTACGTTTTCTTGTCATTGTTTCAATCAAATCACTTAGTTTTATCATTGTCATGTTCCGAATTGACATGAAGATTCAAATCCTATGACTGTGAACTGACTGGTGTCAGTTTAACCATAAAGTTTCAATATTTTCTTTCTAGAGCAGTCTTAGAAAATTTGCAAAATTAACATTTCTATTAGAATTGTCAATAGTTAAGTGTATAACAAAAGAAATGTTAATTTTGTTGTTTAATTTGTTAGAATCCATCATATCAGACACAATAGACTTAGTCATCCATTTATCCTTACAACAGTTAGTGACAATGCGTATGTCTCTAACATATATAGTACATGTTTCATGCACTATATTTAGACTATCTTACGATTAAACAAATCTTAAGAGATCTCTTTTGACCACCTAACGATTCCAAAATTGATGAAAAATTTCAATGCAATCTCCAATGCTAGATGTTCCTCTGCTGCAATCTCATTCTGTCAACAAATATGTGCAATCACAGATATATTTACACTTAACGCAAACTTGAAAGCTGGTCAAGTTTCATAACAAAAGACAGTTGTACTAACAAAGTACATGCTATGTCAACAGTTCATTAGTGATAAATTCTAATAATTTGCAATAATGGATACATCTTCAGGTCATTAGGGGTCATCTCTGGAATGACAGGAGGAGGAGGCAATGTGGGTGCAGTAGTGACCCAGCTCATTTTCTTCAAAGGATCTAAGTTTTCAAAAGAAAGGGGAATAACTCTAATGGGTGTCATGATCATACTATGCACCCTGCCAATATGCTTACTCTACTTTCCACAGTGGGGTGGAATGTTTTTTGGTCCCTCATCTAAAAGGGTCACAGAAGAAGATTACTACTTGGCTGAGTGGAACTCAAAGGAGCAAGAGAAAGGCTCTCATCATGCAAGCTTGAAATTTGCTGATAATAGCAGAAGTGAAAGAGGCAGAAAACTGAACACTTCAACTAGGCCTACTGAGGAAATCACACCCCCACATGTTTGAATGCTCCCTAAGCTCTTGAACGAGTTAACCCTTGTTTTACCTTCCCTTAAGTGCTACCCTTAAGCTTGTGATTTCAAATTATCAAATTATGTTCATATGTTTGACGCACAATAAAGTTTTTCTCTGGAAGTGAAATGGTTTCAAGCCTATTTGCTGCTTCCATGTCTTACTGTTACACACACCATACCTGCAAGGTTCGATAAACTATGCACGGTCTTGAGTAACATCCCAACCTTTGGAAATCAACAATGTCTAATTTTTAAATATGAAAATGTTTGATGTACCACTTAAAAGTGAACATCTTTAAGTGTTCTTTTATATATTTATGTGTATTTTTAGAATGTGTGAATACGAAAAAAACAAAAACAAAGCGAAGGATTAAAAAAATAAGTAATATACGGTATCTCATTTTTAGTATAATTAAGGGATTTTTTTAAAACATTTCCTCGTATGACTAAGAAAAATCAAGTTTATAAGATGGAAATTTTGTCTTCTCGTCAATAGGTTGTCGCTTGTGTTGCTCAAATCTTCAAAGGTAAATATTACTAAAAATTCTTAATTGCCATAAATAATGCACTCGAAAGAAAAGGAATTATCGATCCATCTCTGAAAGAAAAAGGAAAAATCAAAGCAAGAAAATCATAGTCACGCACGTGACAGAACTAAACCATGCCATAAGTAAAAATCATTAATCCACAACAAGCAAACCCCGCTAAGTCTTTGATAAAACCTATAGAGCAGTGCCTAATTAACAAGTTTTTGTGTTTCTACCCATTGATTGTGGTCAAAGCATATATTGTGAACGGGATTGGATCTTCTTTGTAGGATTATCAGATCCATGCTTTTGCGATATAAGTGGCCATTATACAAATACAGCTGCCAATGGCACTTTAGTAGCTCTCAGCTATCTTCTAATATGTTTGATTCAGCTTAATTCTAAAGAGAATAATTACATTTGTTTCAAAGGTCCTCACAGAAAAGTAAAAGAAATAATAAAATAAGTTAAAATAAGCATTACATTTTGTGATTGTTTTCTAATCATTATATTCAATTAGATGCGTATCTTTTCTTTTTCTTACACCTTCGGTCCCTGAAAGCCATATTGAATCATTACTAATTTAAATGGACTACATTGAGTTCATTCAAGGGAACGAAACAATTTCAAAGCATCTGTTTTCTCCATTCACCATATTCAAACTCGCAAAGTAGGTCTCACTACTTAAAATATTTTTACAGGAGATATTTTGAAAAGGAAATATTTAGAAGAAACATTAATATTCATAGAAGGAATACTTAAACCAAACATTAGATAGAAACATTCCAAGGGAACATTGTATAACATTTCTAAAACTATTTTACACACACCTAACTTATTTTAAAGACATGGGGCCGAAGCCCAACAAAACAATCCTACATAAAAAAAACTTAACGGGTAAGGTAGCCCATAAAAATCATTGTACAGTAATCGATGAATCCTCTGGAGGTTGCTCCATCACTTGAAAACACTATGCGATATTTGTTTTTTAAGAATCCTAATTTCACCTCACCAAAAAAATAAGAATTTCACCTTCAAATCTAAATTTTCTGAGTTCACTTTATTCTATGTAGTACTCTTACAAAGAGTGTTACTGGTATAATCAAATAGTAAGCATTAATATTTTATATTTTGATCTATGTTATATGTATAACACACATTTTTAACTGCATTGAATCTGAATTTCCTCCGATAATGTCTCCATGTCATGCTAAATCGCTCAACCACGCTGCAACAACATCCCTTGAGACTCACATTGAATAATAAAGTATTTTGGGTTACAGTTAAGTATTAACTCGAGGAAGCCTAATGCATGGAAGGGTGTGCTAGAGACTCTAAAAAGAGGTTGACATCATGAAAGAATGGGTATTTATCGATTGGAGGTAAGGTGACTTTGATTAATGTCGTTCTTAATTCTATGTCATTACACTCATTATCCTTTTTTAAGGGGCCGAAGTCGGTAATAAAGGAAATTGTCACTATCAAACGAAATTTTTTATGGAAGAGTTTTAAGGATGGATCTAAAAGCTCTTGGGTGAAATGGAAAATAGTTTGTAGACCGCAGAAGAATGGTGGCTTGGGCATGTGGTTTAACTAAGCGCTTCTTGGTAAATGGTTGTAGCGAGGTGTAATTATTCTAGCTCATTGTGGGTGTGGGTGTGGGTGTTGGAAGCTAAGTATGACAAATTAGCTTAGCGTCCATCAGTCCACAACAGATATTCTTTATGATGGCATGATTTGCTAGAGGTTATTCATTAAGGAAATTCATGGCTGGATAAGAAGTTGGATAGGAGTGTGGGTGCATGTTTGCACACTCTTTTTTAGAGAGATAAGTGGGTAGGTGGGATGCGATTGTGTGAGGCATTGTCGCGATTGTTTGCGGTGGCGAGGAATGTTGAATCTTGTGTATTGGAGAATGGTTTTCATGATGGTACTAGGTGAGTTTGAGATGTTAGTTGGCGAAGAGGACTCTTTTAATATAAGATCTCAAGCTTTAATCTTTTGTTGGAGCTTGTGGATGGAGTTTCTATTAAGGTACGACAAGAAGATAAATGGGTATAGAGGACAGATTCTTCAGGTTATTATTCAGTGCAATCTGCGTATTCATGACTATTTGAACTTTTTGGTGGTCCTAATAATGTACGGTGGACGCCTTGCAAATACTATGGAGAGAGAAGGTCCCTCTTAAGTGTCTGGTATTTTCTTGGCAGTTGTTGTTGAATGCACTTTCTTGTAAAGGTTTGTTGATTGATCGTAGTGTTCAAATTGATGATATAATTTATTGTTTATGTCATGGTTTGGAGGAACTTCTAACTTATTTGTTTTTAACGTAATTAATTTCATCTCAAATCTGATACTTTATTGCATGTTGGCTTGGATTTTCATTGGTTTTGCCTTCAGATTTATTGACTCACTTGTTTTCTTGGGTTGTTGTTGATTGTAGTAAAAGAGAAGTGATATGTTTATTAATTGTTTGAGTAAGTACCGTGTGGTCTCCGTGATTACACAGAAATAGAATTGTATTTTTCAATGGTATTTTGGATGAAAGGAAAGTCCTAGATTCTATTATTCTGAAAGTCTTGAAAATGACTATTACTTGATAGTAAGGGAGAAGCTATTTTATTAACTGATTGATATTTGAACCCACAAAATTACATCCGTTTTAGCTACGTATAAGTATGTTTTTGTTTTTTATTTTCCTGAGTAAGTATTAATTTTTTTCTCTATATATATGAATTTTAAGTTTCCCTTAAACTTTCTCTAATAATATATATTTTGCTTATAAAAAAAAAATTGAACAATAACCTTATAGCGAACCCTACCTATATTATCTATCTCTGTTATTCTCAATCTAATGACTAAGGTGGAGATCGAGTTCAAGAAAAATAAAGGATTGTGTTTTCTTGTAAAAATTATGCGTTATAAAATCACTAAACTAATAAATTTAAAAGGTAAAATTTATATATAAAAAATCTATGGTATAAAAGGTAAAATTTATATAAAAAAAAAACTATGGTATAAATTAACAAAAACTGAGGAACAAACAAACTTTGATTCGACTACGCCAAGCTTATAACAATGAAAATATACTCCCTAATATAAAAAGAAAAATTAGAAAGTAAAAAAATAACAGCTAGCGTCTAGGTGACTGAATTCTTAAAATATTGAACGACTTTTTAAATTAGTTCTTAAAATTATAAAATCATGCATTTAAGTTCCTAAAATTTAATACAAATTTTTAACTTTATAAAAATCATTCTATAAATTTTATTTACTTTATTTTTATTATCATTTTATATTGAAGACATTAAAATAAATATTATTTTATAAAATAAAAAATCTTAAAATAAAGAATATTGGAGCCGTAGAACTTTAGAGAGTAATTTAGGATTTACTCAGAACTCAAAGATGACAAGTGAGACTGGTGTGGCCACTGGCAGCAGCAAAAACGTTTTCGAAAAGTGGATATGTATGGCTTTCCTGTGCCGGTGACGGCTGTTGTTTTTTATTTGTGCATCCACTTTGCAACGGGTTTTTTACAAAATAAAATATTTTAAATAATAAATTAGGTATATGTCTTAAAATAAATTTTGTACATAAATGTCCTAAATTGAATTGTATAAAGTTCTCTATTAATATTGAAGTCGATTATCATCGTTTTTTATTATTATGCAACAAGAAAGTCAATTATAATTGACTTCTGAAACACATATTCCTATTAAAAAATAAAATTTTAATTAAATTTATTAATATTTTATAATTTATTTAAAATTCTTACCTAAATTAAAAAAATATAATTTTAATTAAATTTGTTAATATTTTCATATAATAATTAAATAATATCAATGTAAAAATAATATTTTAAAAAATAAATAATTTAAATTATAAACTGCATAAAATTCAAATTCCAAAATATATGAAATTAAAATTCTAAAGTACAGAAAATTAAAATTCTAAAGTAGATCACCATCCAGCATATGTGACTATGGGCCACGCCTGTTGCGTCTGGGTCCAGCAAGGTGACTCTCTATTGTACAATGACAATATACAATCTGTCGTACAGGTCTATGGTGTGGACGTTCCTCCTCCTGCTGATGCATGTTCTGATCATTCACTTCCTGTTGTTGGACAGGTGTATGGTCCTCCTCCTCCTCCTCTTTTGATGAACCATTAAAGGTGGGAATTCAAATATGTATTGGTGATGGTTGATATAGATTATCTGGTGGTGGTGATATGAATGGTGGACTGAACGATATATGTCGTGCAATATCATCCTAAGCTAGACCTGTGACAAAATGTTGCATACGACTGGGAGTAACCTCAGCATCTGACATGAACTGATGACTAGGGCCTGCCATAAAATGTTGGCCCAGGGTCATACATGGTTGGCTAGGGCCTGGCATAAATTGGTGCTGAGAAGGACCAGCCATGTACTGTTGTTGGCTAGGTCCTGACATGAAGTGGT